CAAAATCACCTTTACATTTTGCTGCTGAAAGGGGAGACAAAACAATGGTTGAGATTCTGCTGAACGCTAATGCTGACCCCAGCACACAAGACAAGGAGAAAAAGACTCCCCTGCACACTGCAGCTGTGAGAGGACATCTCGATATCATCAAAGTTCTGGTAGCTAAGAAAGGAAGATCTGGAGCTAAGGACATGGATGGATGTACTCCAATGCACTATGCAGCCATCAAAGGAAACACAGAGATCGTAAAAATTCTTCTCACATCAAGGAAAAATAAAAATATTGATGATAGAAACATTTGGAGAAAGACCACACTGCATATCGCCGCAGAACATGGACACAGCAACTTGATAAATCTATTACTGAGCCACGGGGCAGCTATTAACGCCTCAGACAGCAGCAAGGATACCCCACTGCATTGTGCGTGCAAGGCTGGACATTTTAATGCTGTCAATTCCCTTGTAAACTGGTCACAAGGAGAAAAAGCAAATTTACTAGCTGCTAATAGCCTCAAAAAGACCCCACTGCAAGTAGCAGAATCTAATAAAACAGAAAATCAGATTCAAATTGTAACACTTTTGAAAAAGAAAATGTTAATAACAAGATGAAGTTGTAAAGCAAAGCCTCATAAATTTAAACGCAGAATCCTCTTTTAACGCAATTTGGATAACGCTGTTGTCCAGTATGACTGAGAATTATGTTAGGGCTGGCAGAATTCAGTTAGCAATCAAAGATGGTGATGGAAAAAGAGGATCTTAAAGACACTGGTAAACTTCTAAGTATTGATTAGTCTCCTGCTTCTCTCAAATCCCATACTTGGAACCTATTTAAAAAGCACCAGTTTTAAACACATTGGGTATGACCTCCTCTACTATAAATCAAGACTGTAAAGAAAAAAAAGATAAAAAATAACTTTTCATATATCTGTGACTATTAGCCTCTATGGATAGCTCAGTTAAGCATTGTTTGGTAAAATCACATTTTTAAAAAGCCATCTGTTATGAATAACCAGGCATCTGTATCCTGAAGAATATAGAGCAGAGAGATGTTGGAGTAGATAACACCAGTTTTGTTTAATTTAGACAGACCTAACTGCAGGGTGATGCCAAAAGAGATTGCTCTGCCCTCCCTTCAGCCCAGCCACGCGTGCCTGCTCTAGGTTGTATGTGTGAGCTGATCCAACTCACTCCGCAGCTGTAACTTAACGAAGGGGAGAAGCAGGGTAGTAAAGAGCTGAAGAACACGGGCTGTCCTGAGGGTAACACACTTATCAGCTAGGTTTATGCTGATTCCAGTATTGCTCTCTGCGCTAACTGGAGATTAGAGGGCATCTCCTGGCAAATTGACTAGTGTGGGGTTATTCTACTCCAGATTTACTAGACCCCATGTAACAAATCCTATCAAGAGGCTTGGTATAAACCAACCAGAGGAGTACCGTGTGCCCAAAAATTTGGTGACACAACAATGTTGTTTTCAGGACACTATTATGTGCTACACTGACATTCAATATGGCACTGGACCCTCTTCAGACATTCATATATTATACATATTATATTCTAGATTAAACTTCTACAGTTATTCTTCTATCTTTCATTATACCATTGTCTAGATTTTGCATTTCTAAGTAGACATAATAAAAACAATCATATCTGCCGTTCATTAATTTCGTTTTCAAATCTGTTAGCACAAAGATGAAAGGCTCTGAATAAAAAAGCTGCAACAGAGTTTATTGGTTCAAAATGTCTGCACTGTCATCTCTTAAAATGTAAACACGTTATTGAGTCGGATGGTTCCCTGTGGTCATTTCCTATAGAATGATAATGAACTCCCACAGTTCTTCACACTCCACTATACGATTAGAAGCCCAATTATCGTGAAGGGCCAAATACTTCTCGGGAAATGAAGCACAGATTTAAGAACGTATAGGAATGAACGTGTGATTTTTTTTTTTAGCCGTATTACAGCCCTTTAACTTGACCCACACAGCATCTTGATGCTGTCATCTGGACGAGTGAAAAGACATGACCGAATGCTTCGAAGTACACAGAGAAAGGCCAGCAAAACCGACACCTGCAGCTCGATGCACCGAAACACTGTCCCTCTTCGGCCAGCACATCACACACCCTTCAAGAGGCCCGGGTTGACCCGGGGCTGCCCGCACACCGTCTCTGCAGCCTCAACCGAGGAAAGGCGAAACGCCAGGCGGGGTTCCCTCCACGCCGAGGGACGGCTCCCCCCTCGCAGCACTCCGGCCCCAGAGCGAGCGGCACAGCCCGGCGGAGGCCCCGGGGCGTGCGGCCTGGG